ACTGATGATATAAGCCAGCACTTCTCAGTCATCCTCTTCATCTGTAATAGGCTACAGTGGCAGATCCATCACAGCTTTAACTGTAAAATTTGGCAGTTGAGTCCACTATTTTGTACTTTCCTATTTGGTGTGCCCCCAGAGAGTTCCCTATATAAACTGTCGGTGTGTGTGTGTGTGTGTTTCATTTGCTGAGGGAGCCATGCAAGATCAATAGTCTGTCTCTGTAGCCTACAGTCAATGCAGCCCCGTGATGACCAAATTGCCCTGTAACTAATGGTATTACTGGACACAGAAACCAAACCAGATGACCCATTCTGAATTGCCGTATCTAATAAAGACATCCCTTTATGAAGCAAGCATTGCCTACAACTGTGCTGACCAGCCAGGCACTCTGTGAATCAGGGGACAGTGAGACTTAGAGCTGTATCATGAAACACAACTGCAGGCAGAGGCTTTAACACCAGAAACCCGAGGTGAACAAAGCTGACTAGTGGCCACACTCTGAAGGATTGAATCAGACACACAAATACATCAAGGCAGCTTGCTTGGCCCCATCACTAAATGATAGCTCTTGTTTTACAGTGTTGTGAGTGAAAAAGGATACATCAACTTATCTCAGCACAATTGTTAATGTTGATCTGCCTCCTGACAAGGATGTGTTATCAGTACATATAGTCAGTACACATGGTTGGCAGTTGGTTATACATTTGCTGCAATTACCACATGAAGGAGTGAGTGAGTTAAAATTTAATGTCGCATCAGCATTATTTCAGCCATATAGCGACACAGCATGAAGGAAGAACACCCAGCAAGCTGATGGCAGATAAAGGCAGGGATACAATTCCTGTCAGCTGTGAAGGAATCATACAGCAATTCTAGGAACAAATGCTCATTAAGCCAAATGACATTAAAACAATTGGATTTCAGTCAATGACTTTTTGTTGTTGAAATATTGATGAATTGGGTGGTTCCATTTCTTTAGTGTCAAGTAGTGGGGCTACCTGCATGCACATCAATGGCTTTATTCTTTTCTTTAAGCAAAGAAAAATCATCTCATCGATAGGTATTTGTTTTATTTGATTATTTCATAAATTCTGGAGTGGAATAACTGGCAGTACTAACAGTTTCTACACTGTCTTGAGTGGAATATCTGCCAGTACTAACAGTTTCTACATTGTCTTGAGTGGAATATCTGCCAGTACTAACAGTTTATACACTGTCTTGAGAGGAATATCTGGCAGTACTAACAGTTAATAGACTGTCCTGAGTGGAATATCTGCCAGTACTAACAGTTTATACACTGTCCTGAGTGGAATATCTGCCAGTACTAACAGTTTATACACTGTCCTGAGTGGAATATCTGCCAGTACTAACAGTTTATACACTGTCCTGAGTGGAATATCTGCCAGTACTAACAGTTTCTACGCTGTCTTGAGTGGAATATCTGGCAGTACTAACAGTTTATACACTGTCCTGAGTGGAATATCTGGCAGTACTAACAGTTTATAAACTGTCCTGAGTGGAATATCTGGCAGTACTAACAGTTTATAAACTGTCCTGAGTGGAATATCTGGCAGTACTAACAGTTTATACACTGTCCTGAGTGGAATATCTGCCAGTACTAACAGTTTATACACTGTCCTGAGTGGAATATCTGGCAGTACTAACAGTTTATACACTGTCCTGAGTGGAATATCTGGCAGTACTAACAGTTTATACACTGTCCTGAGTGGAATATCTGGCAGTACTAACAGTTTATAAACTGTCCTGAGTGGAATATCTGGCAGTACTAACAGTTTATACACTGTCCTGAGTGGAATATCTGGCACTACTAACAGTTTATACACTGTCCTGAGTGGAATATCTGGCAGTACTAACAGTTTATACACTGTCCTGAGTGGAATATCTGGCAGTACTAACAGTTTATAAACTGTCCTGAGTGGAATATCTGGCAGTACTAACAGTTTATACGCTGTCCTGAGTGGAATATCTGGCAGTACTAACAGTTTATACACTGTCCTGAGTGGAATATCTGGCAGTACTAACAGTTTATACACTGTCCTGAGTGGAATATCTGGCAGTACTAACAGTTAATACACTATCCTGAGTGGAATATCGGTGGAGTTACATCAGCAGGTTATATTACTGCCTGGGTATACATACTGAGTCTCTGATGACAGGCTCAATTCCACTTTCCTAATGGAGCCTCCATTACTCCTTCCCTCTCTGCTGCTGCTATCTCCTGACTACATATGTGTAACAAGGATCTCCTTGATGTAGCAGCAGCATCAGTAATGACAGGCTACAACAACTGCATCCCCCACACTGGCACACCTCTCCAACATTCAGATCACTCTGGTAATTAACGCGATAACAACCTGCAGGTATTAACCTGCAGGTATTAACCTGGCCAAAAAATGTCAACTATTACGGAAATATTTTTTGACTTGCAAGTTCAAAGAATGTGATAAAATCTTGTCTCCAAGCTAAGTACTCCATATCAATTTATACCTCGCATTAATTGTTGCAATTTCACATCAGGAGCATCCTACGCACAGGCAGAGAGCCAACGGCTAGTGATTTATCGAAGAACCGCAAAGGAAGTGTTCGTACAAGTTTTAGATCCACTCATAGCCTTTGGCCCTACACAGAGCATGGTAAATGTCGCTTTCCGATTTTTATTGGAAATCAACGAAACATAATCAGTGCCGATATTTTCATTGCATGTAATTCCTCCATTGATACACTGGTGCAAAAACTTTATAACCGAACACAGATTATTGAATTGAAATAAATGTGAGATTAGATTCAAAACCATTGATTGCTCCCTTAACGACAAAACGGCCTCGTCAATGCGAACTATGAAAACCATTCTATTGGCGCCGCTTGGTTCCTTCAACTTGTAGCATAATAGGCACCAGAACACAGCTGATGATGCACATAACATAAAGCTGCTGTACCAAACATACAACAAAGGAAGGAAATAAATTGATATCTCACATTTCTTTGAAAACAGTTCCATGATTGTAGATCACATTTATTAACTGTGGCAACAGGAGCAGGGAGCTGATAAACAGTTGACATACAAAACTGCCACCCATTGTGCAATACTGGTGTACCAGAGAGAACAGAAGCGTAGCTAGCTTTGCTGCACAATAAGTTGTGGCACAATACAAGTAGAATCTAATAATCACCTTGATTAGTCAGAACGATGTGCCAACATAAGAGCAGTGACGTTTTCTAATTAAACACTATATCACATGACTGACCAGGGGTCCATGTGGTCCTGAGGGAGTCCATCTGACATGTATATGTTTGAGTAAAGATAAAGCTTCAGTCAGCTTGAGTGTATGCACAGCCAAATTGTTTTACATATGTATCTAAATGCTTTTTGCAAGTGGTCCGGTAAAACAATTCCCAACTCTTGAGACCTACAGTAGATATCCGGGTAGGGTCAGCTAACATGGGGTTGAATGCCCAGGTAGTTAATCTGGACTCATCCCGGCCCTACCTGATAGATAATATTCCACATTTATCATATGCCATATACACAGCATACCAAACTCAATACCTGGTAGATAACATTACACATTTATGGAGGTTTGAACCCAACTGTCGTCCCATGCACTCACTCTGCAGCTGAGTACTTCCCTGTTATGCTACGTCAAGACACTTTTCCAAATACAAATAAATATTTAACTGGCTCTCAACACATTTCCAAGTAACAAGTCTATACTACAAAGGCATATGTGTGAACATACTACAAGCAATTGATGCCAATTGAATTTTTATGTAACCGACACAATGTTGAACTGTGAATTTCCAATCTTGCACACAGTTTGTTCCCTGATTACGCGGGCCCCACAGCCGGTCGACTACGTTTCTATCTCCTCGACTGAAAGCTGGCTCTCCTGCCTGTGACTGGCTACATTCACAATAGACATCAAGTGTCAACCATTGTGGCGTGTAGCAAAACATGCTAGGCATAAAGAATGGATTTGTGGATAAATGCTCTTTAGAAACTTTATGAATGGGAAAATTAGCAAAAAACTCAATTTGTGTTGGCTCTGAAATTAATGAAAGAGGCAGATTAGCCGTAAAATGAATGTATTCATTTGAATGTGTCAGTGTGAAGTATTTACGTCAATTCAGGAGCCTGGTGACTTCATTAACTGTTTACAATATTGGATTCAAGTGAGTTTGATAAGCGGTCAATCATTTATTTGAGCATTCAACAACAGTACTTTTTGTTGTTCTTTTCATTAATGGTGATTTTGTCTTGTTTAGCAAAGTAATGTATTTACTTTAATTACAATGACAGCTGACAGTTAAGTTTTACGTCATTCATTTCAAGCAGCAACCTTAGATAGATAGATTATTGTTGTTAGAGATTATGGAGATATGGAGTCATAAACATAGTGTAATCTTCCATGTATTAATTTGCCCCCCAAAATAAAATAAAAACACATACAAAATTATCAAGAAAAGTCTCCAACAAATGGTGGCTTTGTAACTTGGTTTAATGTTTAGTTTGATATTTTTGCTATGCCTACATTTGGAGCCACCCACATCCTTCATTATGCAACCCTTCTAGTTTTGAAATGTAAAAATAAAATATGATTTCAAAATCACAAGTGGAAGTGATGATTTAACAGGAAGCACTTAACTCCACTGATCATTCATGGTATGATAACAGTTCAAATATTGTGTTTATAGGGACATTAAGAAAAGGTCATCACTTGAGTGATGATTGTGCCTTCACAAAACACAATGGCTGCCCATGTGATGCCAGAACAATGGTATATGGCCAACATGATCTAAATAAACTTGTTGAATATGTCATCTGTCTCTCACAGCTGTATGAGGCATCGTGACCATGTCGCTGCCCCCTCCCCTGCTGCATGTGAGCAGCCTCGTGTCCCGTGCTGCACCTACATCTGCTATCTATTGTTCCCCATCAAGGGGTCATGTTTGTCAATATTCACCTATCTAAAGCATACCTGAAATCGTTGCAGGTCAGCCTGCCAACTAGCTGTCCACACTCAGCCCTAGCAGTCACAAGCACCCGAACCTCTCAGTAAACTCCGATTGACAGGAAGCTGAAATAACAGAAACATGTACCATGAGCTGAGTGGTGATTACACATTTCATTACCAGGAGTTACCACTGTCACATAACATCACAAGCAGTCAGGACTGACAACACTAGCCTATGTCTGTCTCCAGCTGTAATGGATTCATTTCAGCTGAGTTCCAACTGTCATGTCATCAATCCATCAGAGCTGAAACTGTAATGTCACCATGTCATCTGCAGCTGTAATGTCACATGTCATCTGCAGCTGTAACATCACCATGTCATCTGCAGCTGTAATGTCACATGTCATCTGCAGCTGTAATGTCACATGTCATCTGCAGCTGTAACATCACCATGTCATCTGCAGCTGTAATGTCACATGTCATCTGCAGCTGTAATGTTGCCATGTCATCTGCAGCTGTAACATCACCATGTTATCTGCAACTGTAATGTCACATGTCATCTGCAGCTGTAATGTCGCCATGTCATTTTCAGCTGTAATGTCGCCATGTTATTTGCAGCTGCAGCCAAGTGCTGCTGCTGATGCACCTGTACTACTGAGTATAATAATCTTAATGCAGATGATGCAGTAGAGGCCTCAGGATGTAGCAAGCAGTATTTGTACCCAGCAGGGAAAGTGGGGAATGACAGAGGATATGTCTGTGTCCAAATCCTCTATTTATCCTCCCCATGACACGAACATGAATCCATCTTGTACCCAAGTTGGCCTGTGCTTGTCTGGATTACGGGACTGTCCTGAACTGGCCCCTACAGTGATGGAGTTGGTGCCAGTACTAATGAAGTATGACACAAGTGTCCCTCGCTACACCAGAAGCTGAGGAGAGTTTGATAACCCTAATTCATTATTTTCCCCTTGCCTGGACGAACAGGGGAACAGACCCAAACAGGGATCACCAGACAAACAAATCACAAATTGATTCTGGAGAATCGATCATTTTCAAAAGAGTTACACATAGAATTCCCCAAACATCTGGCCATGTAAGGAACAACAACCTGGACACATAATTGACATCTAGGGAAGAAATAAAATGATACATTTGCCACTTGTTGAAAAAAAGGTGAAAAGAAATATGTCTTGAAATATAGTGTTGATAATTATTGTGACAATACTAAACAAGATTAATCTTATCAGACATTATCATGACACATGTTGGAAGGCTAGACTAACATTTAGTCCCAGAATTAAACTTATATTATTTGAAAATATATGTCTTCTAAATAGAAAATAGAATCCAAATGCAGCCAAGAACAATGCTTAAATTCAGGCCTGGAGCTGGGGTAATCTAGACTTGAGTTGGATTCCTTTTTTAATATATTCCCTAGGGTCTGGGAGACATTAATTATGCCTAACTGAGGTGTGCTGAACTGTCTGAAAGTCAAGCATAAACTTTACTTTATTTGTTGTTAAACAATAATTATTCAAGTGTTTGAAATGATGCATCCACTTGCATTTAACTGGGTGTGAGATAGTTCCAGGAGTTTCTCTTCATTTCAATCATGAAAGTTACTTCCTCGTCTAATTGGCACATCATAAGACTGTCATCATAAAAACAATTTTGTTGGCACCACATTGGCAGATGAAGTCCTGTTCCTTGTGAATAAATGAAGTAGCTCACCTAATTGTTGTGTATATGTATCTGTACCTACACAGGTACATCACAGCCACACACGCATGATCTGAAGCAGCTGCCAACGCTTCTTGAAAACTTGTGCCCTGTTTAAAGGTTTCTGCGGTGCTGTGGGAGTACTTTGAGCCCTGCTGGAGGTGTCACTGTTGTTTGATCACTTTGAGCTCTGCTGGAGGTGTCACTGTTGTTTGATCACTTTGAGCTCTGCTGGAGGTGTCACTGTTGTTTGATCACTTTGAGCTCTGCTGGAGGTGTCACTGTTGTTTGATCACTTTGAGCTCTGCTGGAGGTGTCACTGTTGTTTGATCACTTTGAGCTCTGCTGGAGGTGTCACTGTTGTTTGATCACTTTGAGCTCTGCTGGAGGTGTCACTGTTGTTTGATCACTTTGAGCTCTGCTGGAGGTGTCACTGTTGTTTGATCACTTTGAGCCCTGCTGGAGGTGTCACTGTTGTTTGATCACTTTGAGCTCTGCTGGAGGTGTCACTGTTGTTTGATCACTATCAGCCCTGCTGGAGGTGTCACTGTTGTTTGATCACTATCAGCCCTGCTGGAGGTGTCACTGTTGTTTGATCACTTTGAGCTCTGCTGGAGGTGTCACTGTTGTTTGATCACTTTGAGCCCTGCTGGAGGTGTCACTGTTGTTTGATCACTTTGAGCCCTGCTGGAGGTGTCACTGTTGTTTGATCACTTTGAGCTCTGCTGGAGGTGTCACTGTTGTTTGATCACTATCAGCCCTGCTGGAGGTGTCACTGTTGTTTGATCACTTTGAGCTCTGCTGGAGGTGTCACTGTTGTTTGATCACTATCAGCCCTGCTGGAGGTGTCACTGTTTGTTGATCACGTTGAGCCCTCCTGGAGGTGTCACTGTTGTGTGAACATGTTGAGCCCTGCTGGAGGTGTCACTGTTGTTTGAACATGTTGAGCCCTGCTGGAGGTGTCACTGTTCTGTGAACACGTTGAGCCCTGCTTGAGGTGTCACTGTTGTGTGAACACGTTGAGCCCTGCTTGAGGTGTCACTGTTGTGTGAACATGTTGAGCTCTGCTGGAGGTGTCATGGTTGTGTGAACACGTTGAGCCCTGCTGGAGGTGTCACTGTTGTGTGAACACGTTGAGCCCTGCTGGAGGTGTCACTGTTGTTTGATCACTTTGAGCCCTGCTGGAGGTGTCACTGTTGTTTGATCACTTTGAGCCCTTTTGGAGGTGTCACTGTTGTTTGATCACTATCAGCCCTGCTGGAGCTGTCACTGTTGTTTGATCACGTTGAGCCCTGCTGGAGGTGTCACTGTTGTGTGAACATGTTGAGCCCTGCTGGAGGTGTCACTGTTGTGTGAACATGTTGAGCCCTGCTGGAGGTGTCACTGTTGTGTGAACATGTTGAGCCCTGCTGGAGGTGTCACTGTTGTGTGAACATGTTGAGCCCCGCTGGAGGTGTCACTGTTGTTTGAACACGTTGAGCCCTGCTTGAGGTGTCACTGTTGTTTGAACACGTTGAGCCCTGCTGGAGGTGTTACTGTTGTTTGATCACTATCAGCCCTGCTGGAGGTGTCACTGTTGTTTGATCACTATCAGCCCTGCTGGAGGTGTCACTGTTGTTTGATCACTTTGAGCCCTGCTGGAGGTGTCACTGTTCTTTGATCACTATCAGCCCTGCTGGAGGTGTCACTGTTGTGTAAACACGTTGAGCCCTGCTGGAGGTGTCACTGTTGTTTGATCACTATCAGCCCTGCTGGAGGTGTCACTGTTCCTTGATCACTATCAGCCCTGCTGGAGGTGTCACTGTTGTGTGAACACGTTGAGCCCTGCTGGAGGTGTCGCTGTTGTTTGAACACTTTGAGCCCTGCTGGAGGTGTCACTGTTGTTTGATCACTTTGAGCCCTGCTGGAGGTGTCACTGTTGTTTGATCACTTTGAGCTCTGCTGGAGGTGTCACTGTTGTTTGAACACATTGAGCCCTGCTGGAGGTGTCACTGTTGTTTGATCACTATCAGCCCTGCTGGAGGTGTCACTGTTGTTTGATCACTTTGAGCTCTGCTGGAGGTGTCACTGTTGTGTAAACGCGTTGAGCCCTGTTTGAGGTGTCACTGTTGTGTAAACGCGTTGAGCCCTGCTGGAGGTTTTACTGTTGTTTGAACACTTTGAGCCCTCTTTGGTTTTACTGTTGGTTGTACATATTAAACCGTGTTAGAAGGGTTTGCTGTTATTTGAACACTTTGAGCCCTGGTGTAGGGTTTCACGGTTATTTCAACACTTTGAGCTTTGTTGGTGGGTTTCCCTGTTATTTGAACACTTTGAGCTTTGTTGCTGGGTTTCCCTGTTATTTGAACACTTTGAGCTTTGTTGCTGGGTTTCCCTGTTATTTGAACACTTTGAGCCCTGGTGAAGGGTTTCCCTGTTATTTGAACACTTTGAGCTTTGTTGGTGGGTTTCCCTGTTATTTGAACACTTTGAGCTTTGTTGGTGGGTTTCCCTGTTATTTGAACACATTGAGCCCTGGTATAGGGTTTCACCGTTATTTGAACACTTTGAGCTTTGTTGCTGGGTTTCCCTGTTATTTGAACACTTTGAGCCCTGGTGAAGGGTTTCTCTGGTCCTGTGGGAACTATTAAGCCACAAGATTAGGATAAATCAAACATTAGTTGATTATGTATTGGCTACTAATCAGGCCCTTCACTATTGTAACATACTCCATATTAAGCATTGATCCAGGCCCTATTCATATAAGCCATCACCAGTATAGTCACTGGACTATCACTCACAACTGCAGCATACTCTGACTTATCAGCCATGCTCATGAAAATGAAAATAGGATGGTCTAGAGAGTGAATACTTAAATCATTACTGTTGCATTTCTAGGATTTTATGGCACATCAGTGAATGGGAGGGCGTGAGACGGAGGGGGAGGGGGGAGCGGGAGGGGGAGGGGGCTTGGCTGACATAACAGAGCACACAAAGCAGCAGTAACAGATGCAGCAGAAGTAGGCACCCAGGAAAGAACACATTGACTGATGCAACAATGCCTGATTTTATGGATGGATGAATAGCTGTGAAACATTGACAGATGGATGAATGAAAGAATATTTAGATAAAAGGTGAATATAATAATGGATATTTGTGCATTGATTGTAGTATCAATTGCAAGTAAGGTAGGGAAACAGAATATCACTTAAGTGTCTTTTGACATCAAATATATCAACACAAGTCAACTGAAGTATAACATTCTGAGACTTGCCAAGGTTTTTCACTCTCCTTGATGAGTGACATATAACTGGCATCTAAGAGGCAAGGGTGAAATTTTTAAAAATTTCCAATATTATTCTCAGCCATTGCCTACTGAAACAATGTATTATTTTGATGACTATTTTGACATTTGAGATGAACTTACATGTGTCCCACCTTTGAGAGCCAGTTATTGAAAACAAAACCCATTCATAACTATTTCTAGTGTAAATCTCTTGATTAAAGTATACCTAAATCTTACCACTTGTTTCATAATGACATGTATGAAACCTCTTCAGATATATATACATGTAACAACTCACAGAAACATGGACGATTGAACAGAAACAATTGTTTTTGTACCTGTGCAGGCTGATGGCAAGTATCAATCAATATGTACACCCTCCAACTCCTGGAAGTAGTTCCTGGTATGATGAACCTACCTGTGATGTGCCTGTGCCACAGTCACCTGACACGTCACACAGCATGAGCCACAGAGTCACATAGTTCCATCACTGGGAAGCATGTAGACCTACTATCTGAGTAAAGTTGTAGCCAGTGCTTGTGTGTCCGGCCAGCCACTCTGTTCCACTGGTCAGCCAGTCAGGGAGCAGAGCTGGCGGTATAGGGCCTGCTGTGTGCAATAATGAACTGCTGCAGCCAGGAAGAAATCAATCCATGAGACCTCATACTGAAGCAGCCTGAGTCCTATTGATAATATCTATATGTTTAGGGAATCCAAAAGGGTGAAACCCATTCAAGGAGTTACACATCGCTGTGAAAAGATTTCTCGATTTATCGATGGCTTAGTGCTTGCAGTGCCATTTTCGTGCCGCTACATTCGTAGTGTCCGTTAGTTATCCTCTTTTAGCGCACATATTTACACATGTTCGTTTTTTAGTTTCATGCAATAGTTTGATCAACATGTTACACAAGTTGAAAGAGAAGCTTGCCCATCTAAATGCCTGTTATCGATTCACAATGTCTATGGTTTCCCAAAAGATGTTCCAATATTCCCCTATATAAAGGACAGAGCAGGAATGGGGACTTCTAGGTATTGTTAGAATATGTATGGGGCATCACATTTCATATCAAATACTTTATATTTATAACTTAGCTCCTCTTTCCTGTCATAAAGGACCCGGTTCACACCCTGACACACACATACAGATATATACCCAACATATGTCTGAGCACAAGTGATCAGCAGTATTCCACAGTGTACTCCACGGAATGTCTGCAAAAATACAGCTGTGTACTCCACAGAATGTCTGTCACAATACAGCTGTGTACTCCACAGAATGTCTGTCAGAATGCAGCTGTGTACTCCACAGAATGTCTGTCAGAATACAGCTGTGTACTCCACTGAATGTCTGTCAGAATGCAGCTGTGTACTCCACAGAATGTCTGTCACAATACAGCTGTGTACTCCACAGAATGTCTGCAAAAATACAGCTGTGTACTCCACAGAATGTCTGTCACAACACAGCTGTGTACTCCAGAGAATGTCTGTCACAATACAGCTGTGTACCCCACAGAATGTCTGTCACAATACAGCAGTGTACTCCACAGAATGTCTGTCAGAATACAGCTGTGTACTACACAGAATGTCTGTCACAATACAGCTGTGTACTCCATAGAATGTCTGTAAGAATACAGGTGTGTACTCCACAGAATGTCTGTCAGAATACAGCTGTGTACTCCACAGAATGTCTGTCAGAATACAGCTGTGTACTCCACTGAATGTCTGTCACAATACAGCTGTGTACTCCATAGAATGTCTGTCACAATACAGCTGTGTACTCCACTGAATGTCTGTCAGAATGCAGCTGTGTACTCCACGGAATGTCTGTCACAATACAGCTGTATACTACACAGAATGTCTGGCACCATACAGCTGTGTACTCCACAGAATGTCTGTCAGAATACAGCAGTGTACTCCACAGAATGTCTGTCAGAATACAGCTGTGTACTACACAGAATGTCTGTCACAATACAGCTGTGTACTCCACAGAATGTCTGTAAGAATACAGGTGTGTACTCCACAGAATGTCTGTCACAATACAGCTGTGTACTCCACTGAATGTCTGTCACAATACAGCTGTGTACTCCACAGAATGTCTGTCACAATACAGCTGTGTACTCCACAGAATGTCTGTTGGAATACAGGTGTGTACTCCACAGAATGTCTGTCAGAATGCAGCTGTGTACTCCACAGAATGTCTGTCACAATACAGCTGTGTACTCCACAGAATGTCTCTCAGAATACAGGTGTGTATTCCACTGAATGTCTGTCAGAATGCAGCTGTGTACTCCACATAAATGTCTGTCAGAATACAGCTGTGTACTCTACAGAATGTCTGTCAGAATACAGCTGTGTACTCCACAGAATGTCTGGCACCATACAGCTGTGTACTCCACAGAATGTGTGGCACCATACAGCTGTACTCCACGGAATGTCTGTCACA